CCCTGCCGAGGGGCGCGCGGGCTCCCCGGGCTCCCCCACATGCCGCTGCCGCTGCCAGGAGCTGCAGCAGGAGGAGGACGCAGCGCCGCTGCACCGCGCGGGTGTGGACGGCGACCAGAAACTGCCCCGGGCTACAGCGCTCATAGGTACGTGCTCACCCGCGCCAGGAGCCCAACACATCCCCACCCAGCACTGGGCCACTGGGCGGCGGACGGACCAGGGGACCCAGATGACCATCCCGACGCCCCGACCCCACCTGGCCCCTCTGCCTTAGAATCGGTAACACTCTGACCTACATAATTGTAGTTCAGATTGTCTGATGTGAAAGAATAAAACCACTGTCCCTCCCCCACCCCCACCCCATAACTTTGGAATTCCCTCCTAGCGTGCACAGTAGGGCTGGAGGGGATTCCAGATGAGGGGAAGACACTTAGGGTCACGGGGCGGTGGCGGCAGCCCGGGCAGGGACACAGGCTCCAGGCTGGTCGGACCGCCGCCCCGCCGTGGGTCGACCTCTCCACGGTCCAGGCTCGTTCTTTCCACCATGTTAAGGAGCATGTGGCCCCAAACGCTCGTCCATTCAGCAGATACTGAGTGGGGACTGCCGGCCAGACTGGCCAGGGTGTGTGCGCGTGCGTTTCGGTTTTTTTCTTTTGGTGGGAGTGAGCGTGGGGGAGCTTGGCATGGAAGAAGAAAGAACCCGAAAAATGTACGAACAGTTTTGGACACGGAACCATGAAGGAGAGCGGTTGGTAAACTTGGGATATGAAAAAGCCTGCTGGAGCCGGTGCGCGTGCGTTTCGGTTTTTTTCTTTTGGTGGGAGTGAGCGTGGGGGAGCTTGGCATGGAAGAAGAAAGAACCCGAAAAATGTACGAACAGTTTTGGACACGGAACCATGAAGGAGAGCGGTTGGTAAACTTGGGATATGAAAAAGTCTTGAAAGGCCAGTAGGAGTTGGGGATGGTAGAGGCTCCTTCCTAGGTTGAGGGGCCTGCAGGAACAGAGGCCAGGAGGGACTAGAGCCCTGCCCAGCAGGCAAACTGCCAAAAGCTTGGCCAATTGAGAGCTAGGACATGCCAGCTAGACAGCCACCAGATCCCAAGGGCCTCTACTCAAGGGGTTCTTAGACATAGGTAAGGTTCAGGGACTTGGATCACTCAGAAACTTTTGCAGTTTGCTATGAACTCTGCATGATGGTATATTCGTTTTCTATTGCTGTTGTAACAAATTACCACAAACGTAGTGGCTTCAAATGACACGAATGTATTATTCTACAGTCCTGTCGGTCAGAGGCCTGACGCTCACTGGGCTGAAGTCAAGTTGTCAGCAGGGCTATGTTCCTTTCTGGGGGCTGTAGGAGAGATTCCATCTCTTTGCCTCTCCGGCTCCTAGGGGCCACTGCGTCCTTAGCTCGTGGCCCTCACTATTTTCAGATCCAGCAATGTTAGTCTCAGTCCTTCTCCTGCTGCCTCTGCTCTGATGCTCTTGTTTTTCTGCCTCCCTCTTCCATCCACCAGGACCCTTGTGATTACTTGGGCCCACCCAGATAATCTCCCCATCTCAAAATTGGCTGATTTAGCAACTTTAATTCCATCTGCGTCCTTAATTTCCCTTTTCCATGTAACCTAATGTATCCGCAGGTTCCAAGGATTAGGACGTGGACATCTTTGGGGAGACATTACTCTCTACCACAATGAGCCTATAGCTTTTTATCAGATTCTTAAAAGAAGCTGAGACTAAAAAGGGTGGGCTGATCAGGAAGTTAGGAGCCAGTGGGGAGGTGACATGGTTGGGTTTTTATTCTAGAAAGTGAGCTCTGACAGCATTGTGGAGGGAGGCTGGGACAGGCACACGAGGGAAGGAGGGGAGACCAGTTAGGAGGTGTTAGCAGTGCTCAGCAAGACACGAAGTGGCTCGATCTACAGCCGAGGTAGGAGGGAGGGCTCCAGAGGCAGGATTAGTGGGCTGGCCCCCTGATCGGATGCAGGTTAGCTACTGGGAGAGTGGGGGTGACTCCCACGCTGCTGATGACGGATCGTGATAGCCCTCCAAAACGGAGCCTGTGGGAAGAGGTGTGGGAGAAATAAATGAAAACATGCCTTAGGGAATTCCAAATAGAAATGTCATTTAAAGGAAGAGGAAGAAGAACTGGCCAAAGAGATCGGGCAAGAAACATGTAGGTAGGAGGAGGAGAGTCAGGAGGCCCAGAAGCAGAAAAAGGAGTTTGTAGAAGAGTGTGGTCCAAAGTGCCACATGCTGGGTGAGACATCAGGGGAGAGGCAGATTCTGGGACAGTGCTGTAGAGATGATGTAGGTGACCTGGGCTGAAGAAGGGTGGGCGGGAGGGGAAGGTGCCAGACAGAAATGCTGCCGGTGCGTGTTAATGCCTGGCGCTTTCCTTCTGCTTTCTGGGACATGCGGGATTAAGGAACCTTCAGTTTCCCAATGCAGGGGCTGAGTCTTAGGCTGAGGGGAACTGCTTGGTTGAGGAACTCTGCTGAGAGGTTTCTGCCTGTGGGATTAAGCTGGTTGCCTTAACAAGAGGGGGAAACGAAGGCAGGGGCTCCATGACTTGCCCAAGCCCGTGTAGTAATGCCATAACCTGCTGTTTCTCAGTCCCCTTGAACTTGAGCGGGAACAAGCCACTCTGGAGAGGGTTGAGAATGTCACTGCTTTGTCTCTTCCCTCACCGATTTGGGCACATGCCTCAAAGGAGCTGTCCAGCTGATGGCTGAAGGATCAAAGACCTGGAGGGTGCTCTGAATGGTGGCACTCTGGCCCCCACATTGCACAGCTCCAGGCAGCTGGCAGAAGAGGAATCAGTTTGCAAAGCCTCAAACTGGGGGAAGAGCTAGATCCTCTGGTGGAGAATATTTCTACCTCAGATCTTGGTTTGGAGTCACCTCCTCTGATCCCCAAGACTGGATTAGGTGTCCCTGTTCCACGCTGTCATTCGCCCTTGTGCTTCCTGACAGCAGCATTCTTCACACGTGTCATAGTCGCCTCTTTCTAAGTGTCCCCTGAGGGGTATGGGAAGTGGCAGCAGAGACTTTCACTGAATCTCCAACACCTGGCACATCAGTGTCTTTCAGAGTGTAAGTACATGGCAGAAATTCTTATCCCCCGGCCTTCTGGGGAAAGTGGGGAGGGAGTTTGATATCAGTGGTTGTCCTGCCTGCTAGTGCCCTCAGCCCTGACTGTGCTCAGCGCTCCGGCATGGAGGAGAATATGAGGAAATGTCCAACCTGGCGCCTGCCCTCCAGGTGGCCGCAATCCAGGCAGACATTCGTAAAGCCAAAGCCCAAGGCAGTCTGGGATGTAGCAAGAGGGGTAGGGCGGGCGGACTGTGGGGTAGAGAATGAGGACAGAGGCCACAGGCAGAAGGGGGTCTTCTGGAGAAGGTGGGCAGCACTGGAACTCCAAAGGTACTTAGGATTTTGGTGGGGTGGGAAGGAGAATGTTCTCAGTGCATGGAGGAAATAGAGAGGGGAGAGAAGGTGGCCCCCAGATTGAATAAACTAAATCCCACAAAACCTGGGTCCACCCCTGGCCATGGCATTTGACTAGGAGGACGCAGGTGGTGTTTCAGTTGCAGGATAGGAAGAGGGGTCAAAATGTGGAAAATTAAGGTGGGATGAACAGTGAGAAAGGACGCAGAGGGTGTGTGATGAGATGTTAATCCGTAAATCGAAAAGGCGATTGGGTAGAAGCGAAAGACTAGGGCACAGAGAAGATGCTGGAGAAGAGGAAGTGAGGTGCTGTGTTATTACAGTCTGTGTGTGTGTGTGTGTGTGTGTGTGTGTGTGTGTGTGTGTGTGTGTGTGTGTGTGTGTGTGTGTGTGTGTGTGTGTGTGTGTGTGTGTGTGTGTGTGTGTGTGTGTGTGTGTGTGTGTGTGTGTGTGTGTGTGTGTGTGTGTGTGTGTGTGTGTGTGTGTGTGTGATGTCCCTTAGGAATCAGGAATGGGTGGGTTGGAAGGCACCGAGAGAAGTAGATTTAAAGAGAAGGTCTAGGATGGGCTAAAGGGAGAAGACAGATTAAAGGGGACTTTAGCTCCATCTGTATTTTTGGTTTTTTACAAGAAGAGTGTATTTATTTGTGTTACTTGTGTAATTAAGAATTGCTTTTTAAAGGAGGGTGGGGTGGAGACTTCCTCTTCGGCTGGTAGTTTGGGGCTACAGATAGCTCTGCAGGGGGCTGTTTCCAAACTCAGCAGCTTGGAATTAGGTGGGTCCTGCTGATTGGTGTGTAAGAAGTTTTTAACCTACTGTATTTTTTTTTACTGCTTTGTTTTCTAAAAGGTCAGAGCTGTATTTAGTGTTCAGCCACATCATATTTATCTAGCTGATTGGTAGTTTTATTTTCCTTTTCTTCAGGCTTTTTAGATCTGCTTTTATTATTTTAAAACTCTCAATTTACATGTGTCTTTTATTCCAAGCATTTTCAAATCCCCCTTTTTTGGGTAACAGCTTTATTGAGATATAATTCACATACCATACAACTTACGCATTTAAAGTGTACAATTCAATGGTTTTTAGTATCTATTCACAAAGTTGTGCAACCATCACCTTAATCAATTTTAGATTATTTTCATTGCCTCAAAAGGAAACTGTTTACCCTTTAGCTATCACTCTCCAACTGGGCAACCACTAATCTACTTTTTGTCTTCAGACATTTGCCTATTAGACATTTCATATCAGTGCTGATGGTTTATTGAAAACCCTGGAAATGTGTCCCTGTTTCTTTGTCTAATGCATGTGTATCATATGTGTGTGTGTGCACTTACATGTGGGCATATAATATACTAATATACACATGTTTTCTTAATGGAATTAGTTTTTTCAAAATAATGAAACATTCAGAATGATCTCAGCTTTTTTTCAGGCTTTGGCAAATATGCTGATTGTGTTCTTATAACCCTCACGCTGATCATGTGGTCATTGCTGCCCCTCAACCCTGAGATTTGGGTGAATCTTGTGTCCCTTGCAGCAAGGCTTCTGCAAAAGAAGAGTTCTCTTCTTGCTGTGGTTGCTTTCACACTTCTGTGTCCCAACAAGTTCAGGACTGCTTAGTTACTTCAGAGGGGTGTGAATTTCCAGGTTGAACACCATTTATAATTGTCCCTGGCTGTGATTAAGCATTTGAAATCCTTCCTGCTATCTTTAACTCTCCAAGTTTCTCCCTGTGGCTTCCTGTGAACAGGGCAGGGTTAAATGTGGCATTTAAGTGTGCTCCCTCTCCGAGCGTTTGCCTGTGCCGTTGCTCCCACCTGGTGTGCCCTCCCTTCTCTGCTGCCCATTTCCTTTCTGCAGCCCCATCCCAGCCAGCTGCTCCACTTGGTCCTTGGGCAGCAGGGATGCTCCTGCTGACAACTCACAGCTGGACAGTGCTCCAAAGCCTGCAAAGCGCTCTTTCATGATGCTTCATTCATGGCACCCAAGACCTGGAGAGATTGAAGAGGCATGTGTGATTTTGATGTTAAAATGGACAAACATCACAAACACTGCAGTGGCCCATTGTCATGGAGAGATTGAAGAGGCATGTGTGATTTTGATGTTAAAATGGACAAACATCACAAACACTGGAGTGGCCCATTGTCAGATCTTTTTTTTTTTTTTTTTTTAAAGATGACCGGTAAGGGGATCTTAACCCTTGACTTGGTGTTGTCAGCACCACGCTCAGCCAGTGAGCAAACCGGCCATCCCTATATAGGATCCGAACCCGTGGCCTTGGTGTTATCAGCACCGCACTCTCCTGAGTGAGCCACGGGCCGGCCCCCATTGTCAGATCTTAAACCCAGGCCTGTCCAACCTCCAGTCTAGCCTTGTTCCTCTCTGGTTCTGTAGTTTTATCCCTTGGTGTCTTTGCTTATTCTGGTAGCTCTTTAGTGCAGGGCTCTTGCCCTCTTTGCAGTATTTGTCCCTGTGTCTAATGTGCATTGAATGTTCAATAAATGGTGTTTGGCCAATTATTTGTTCTCTTTCTTGAACAGAATCTTACCTCTAATTATTTAAGAAGGAGAACATCTTCTAGCATCTTTCTCCCAAATATAAAGTTTTAACCTAAATGGACTGGTTTGTCCTGGTGTCCCGAGGGAGGGGGTGGGAGGTGAGGTGGGTGCCATGCTGGCATGATGAGTCCACATGGCTCTGAGTTGGGTTGGGCTGGGTTGGTCTCCTCTTATCTGTCTTTCCTGTTTGCTTCCCCCCCAACCCCCACCCCAGGGCTGCCCATGTACATGAAGTCCCTGCACTGGGCCCTGGCAGTCATGGCTGTGCTCCTGGCAATCTCCGCGGTGGCCATTGTGGCCCTGGCCTCTAGAGCAGGTATGGTGTCCTCTCTCATCTCCTGTCCCTGCTGCTCCACCCCTAGGGCAGTGTCTAGCCCTTACACCACCTTTGAGGATTGGAAAGAGACCTCCCCATGGGGGGGATGCCGCCGGAAGACACCGGCTTGAGCCAAGTTTGTAAGATTTGTTCCTCGCTCCCCCTGGGCGCCCTGAGCAGCAGTTGGACGGCAGCCCATACCCAGCGGCTTTGTGCACCGCCCAGACTGCACGGCCTTCCTCGGGCCCTGCCCGGCCTCCTCTCCACCCCGAGCCTTGCCACTTCCACGCCTCCAGATGGGCCCCCTCAGTCAGTGGGGCGGCCAGGTTCGTTTTATAACGCGCCCGCGTTTAGCTCTTTACAGGCTATCCCACAGGGCTCACCAGCAGTGTCTGTGCTTGCAGGGGCCAGGTGCCAGCCATGCCCCCCGGGCTGGATGTGGGCCGAGGAGCACTGCTACTACTTCTCTGCAGAGGCGCAGGCCTGGGAGGCCAGCCAGGCTTTCTGCTCAGCCCAGGGGGCTACCCTCCCCCTGCTGGACCACACCCAGGTGAGAAGGGGCGGCCAGTCGAGGGCATGCCTATCATTCCAGGCACAGAGTCCTGGCCCTGAAGGAATCTCCAAGATCTGGTCCAGCTCTACATTATACAAGTCACCAAGGGCAGAGAAATAAGGTGACATACAGCGGAACTAGACATCAGGTAGCAAGGTCTTCGATTTGCTCTTTATTCAAAGAAGTGGAGGCAGACCTGGGGTGCCCCCATCCAGCCTGGCAGTCATGCAGTTAGTGAGCTCAGGAGCCAGACCTGATGGGAGAGACATATGTGTCCTTTCTGGGAGAGAGTATGGAAAATAAATTACATTTAGTGGGCACAGTCAGGTAGTGCTGTAACACTGTTGGGTAACAGATCACCCCAATACTCCTCAGTGATTTAAGACAGCAAGCATTGATTTCTTGGTCGCTGGTCTGTGGGTCAACCGTTGACAAGCTGACCTCGGCTGGGTTTGGCTGGACAGCTCAGCGTCAGGACGCAGATGGCGGGACATGGCTTGAGGCTGCAGGCTGGGTTTGTGTTTGCTCCGTGGGCCCTCCGTCTACCTGGGAGAAGCTCTCCACAAGAAAAGTGGGGAGCAAGCTGAACTGAGCAAGCCTCATTTAAACTGCTGCTCGTGTCTCATCTGCTGACGTTCCAGTTCTTTCCATGGCCAAAGCAATAACACGGCCAAGCCCAGCATCAAAGGGACAGGGTAGTGTCCTCCATCCCCAGGGGAAAGGACAAGAGAGTGAATATTTGATGAATAGTAATTCAGTCAGTGGGTTTGAGAGCGGCTACAGAAAAAGACCAATTAACTGGATCCAGTCCTCAGCTTAATTTTTTTTTCCATTTTTTAAAATGTGTTAAAGTACACAGAACATAAAATTTGCCATTTTAACCATTTTAAGTGTACAATTTAATCGTATTAAATACATTCATAATGTTGTGCAACCATCACCACCATCCATCTCCTGAACTTTTTTCATCTTGTACTGAAGCTCTGAGCCCATTAAACAACTCCCCATTTCCCCACCCCCTGGTAACCACCATTCTGCTTTCTGTCTCTATGAATTTGACCACTCCAAGTGCCTCATATTAGTGGAATCCTACAGTTTTTGTCTTTTTGTCACTGGCTTATTTCACTTAGCATAATTTCTTCAAGGTTCATCCATGTTGTAGCATGTGTCAGAATTTCCTTCCTTTATAAGGCTGAATAATATTCCATTGTATGTATGTGTGTATGTATGTGTGTATATATATATATATATCATGTGTCAGAATTTCCTTCCTTTATAAGGCTGAATAATATTCCATTGTATGTATGTGTGTGTGTGTGTGTGTATATATATATATATATATATATGTATATATGTATATATGTATATATGTGTTGTAGCATACTGCAGAATTTCTTAACTTTTTAAGGCTTAATGATATCTATATGTATGTATGCACCACATTTTGCTTATCCATTCATCTGTTGATAGACACTTGGGTTGTTTCCATGTTTTGCTACTGTGAATAATGCTGCTATGAGGGCCGGCCCGTGGCTCACTCGGGAGAGTGAGGTGCTGATAACACCAAGGCCATGGGTTCGGATCCCACATAGGGATGGCCGATTCGCTCACTGGCTGAGCGTGGTGCTGACAACACCAAGTCAAGGGTTAAGATCCCCTTATCAGTCATCTTTAAAAAAAAAAAATGTATAATGCTGCTATGAACATGGGTGTACAAATATCTTTTTGAGGCCCTATTTCCAATTCTTTTAGATATATACCCAGGAGTGCAATTGCTGGATTGTACAGTAGTTCTATTTTCAATTTTTTGAGGAATCATCATACTGTTTTCCACAGCAGCTGTACCATTTTACATTCCCACCAATCCTTGGCTTAATTTACCTCAGGGCAATTACCAAGAATTTGTATTAGCTGTTCTCATATGCATGAAAATGCAGCATGCCTTCAGGTGATGCTTTAATAAATATTTACTGAGCACCTGCTCTGTGTTTGGCACTGGAGATTCAATGATGAGCGGCATAGCACAGCCTCCACCTTCACAAGGCTAAAGGGCACCGAGGGGGGCAGACAGCAATCAGGAAATCATAGAAATAGATGTTTAACTACTGCACTGGTCTGTGCTGTGAAGGGAGGGTGCACAGTGCTGTCAGAGTATGTGACAGGAGAGTGTGACCTGAAAGTCAAGGTGAGTGAGGCACCATGGGCCTTTTGAAAAAAACTGAAGAAAGGATAGTGAGACTGGGCCACGTAGCCTCCTGAAATGTGGCTTTTAACCTCAGTCTGGACTAGTTGGTGACTGGGCCTGCCATATAGCTATTGACTTGGGATTTCTGTTCACCTGCATCCTCAAGATGCCTTTTGCCTCTTTCCTATGTGGGATCCCCTGTCTCCTAGATCCCATATGTTTCTTTTTCTTGGTTTATATCCTTTTCTTGGTGGAGCATATCCTCTGTAAACTTCCCAGGGGGAAAAAGTACATGAGGAGTAAATTTCTTGAGGTCTTTTATGTCTGAAGATACTTTTATTTTAACCTCTTCATTGATTGATAGCTTGGCTGGGTATAGAATTCTAGGTTGGAAATTTTTTTTTTCTGTTTTTCCACCGAAGTATGTAGCCTTCGCTTCATTACTGTCCAGCTCTTGGTCTTGCCATTAAGAAGTCTGATTTACTCTGATTCCCAATCCTCTGTATGTGACTCTTTTTTCTTTTTCTTCTCTGGAAAATTTCAGAGTCTTCTTAATGTTCTGAAATTTAACAAATGTAAGCCTTTGTGGGTCTTTATTTTTATTTCTTCTACTTTCTCATTTTATGAACTCTTCTTGGTCCTTCAAATGTTTCTTTTTTATGGTGTCCTGTTCCTGTTTCATAGATGCAATATCTTTTCTCATCTTATTGTGGATGTTAAATTTTAGTGTACTTGAAATTTTCCTCTGCTCCCCGCACTGTCTCTGTTTTTCTATGAGTACCTTTTATTCTGTTTATTGTTTTTTGTCTTTTCCATTTTAGAAAATTTCCTTAATGTCTGGTGATCCTCAGCTGTCATAATTGACAGTAAGGCACTAAATTGCAGATTGGAAGCTCTATGTCAGAGGTGGTAGGGTTGGGGCAACTGGGTACATCAGACTTTTTTAGAGGCAGGCTTTGCAATATGGAAGTCAGGTAGGAACTCGGTTATTTTCTTAGTGAATGTCAAGCTGTCAGCATTCCAGGAGTGGAGAAAGAAGGCAGAGGTTTCACCTCTAAGTGTGTAGCACTTAATCTCTCCCTTTCTAGCCTAAGCACCCTCACCCTTAGCTGAACCTGGTGTACTAGATCCTAAAAGCCCCTGTGGTTCATCTTTCTGAGGATACTTACTAGTTCCCTGGCTACACAGGGGAGGTGAGTGCATGAGGGGAGGGAGGTCCTAGCCACTTCTCTTTCCAAGCCCTTTTTCCTATACCTTAGCCTTCAGAGGGACCCGTTACTTCTTGGGCCTTCTCAATACAAATTGGCCTGTTTCTTGGCTTTCTCCCGTTCTACCCTTTCCTTTAAGACCACTGAGATTTTTTGGGTCTGAAAAGCCAGTAACAGTTGTCCGGCTTCCAGAAGTTTTTTATTATTTCTCATCTGCTATTGTCTCCTCCCATTTTTTGTCCTTTTTTTTCCAGGCTTTGCCCTGGGATCAGGGGTCAGGAGCTGCCATGTCTGAGGTGACAGACAATTCAGAAAAGCCTGTGACCTGGCAGACCACCCAGTGTTCAGCTTCCCACCCCGGCATCCTCCCACTTTTGCTGTCATACCCATGTCTCTCTGAGACTTCTGCTTGCCAGCTCTGTTCGTGCCACCTCACATGAGGGCAGACACTGAGTGACAGTAGGGACACAGAGCCCCGAAGAACTGGCTGTTGGACCTGTCCTGCCAGCTGTTTGCAGTGCCTGCCCTGGAGGAGCTAAGAGGAGCCCCTTGAGAACCCTTGGAGGGACAGGGTAGGAGGTGAATTCTTCAGTACACACGCCAGTATTTCTTTTCTTTTTTTTCTTTTTTCTTTAGGCAGCTGGCCAGTATGGGAACCAAATCCTTGACATTGGTGTTACAACACCATGCTCTAACAAACTGAACTAACCAGCCAGCCCCAGTATTTCTCATTGCTGTATTTTTTCTCTCACTAAGTAATATGTCCAATGCAAAAAAATTGGAAATGGAAACAATTAGAAAGAAAATTAGTTTCATTCATTATCTTGAACCCAGGCAGATAAGCACTAACATCATAGTTTGAAATATTTGGGTCCAGATTTTCTTCTAGAATATATATTTAACTTTTTCTTTAAAACAAAGAGGGATGTGCTATTTTATAATCTGGTTTTTTTCACTTAGCAAAATGTGATGAGCTTTTTCCCAGATCATTAAATATCCTACTTGAACTTGGCTGTACTGTGCACATGGTGGGTAATGGGATCAAACAGACCTTACCTGAGTCCTCGCTCTGCTGCCTGCAGCGTGGCCACAGGCACACGTGGTGATTCCCACATGTGGCAGCCCCTCATGTGGCAATCCCTCGTGTCACGATCCTCCACATGGCAGCAACCCACGTGGTAATCCCTCCGTGCTCTTGCATCCCTAGTGTCTCTCCTTCATAGTGTGTATAAATTTCCTCATCTTATAAAGTCACCAGTCAGACTGGATTAGGGCCACCTGAACGGCCACATTTTCACTTACTCACCTCTTAAAGTCATGACTCCAAATACAGTCACATTCTGAGGTGCTGGGAGTTAGGGCTCCAACATACAAAGGGGGACACAATTCTTCCCGTAACTCTTACAAAATCTCAATACGTAAGACTGATAAGCATGGTATTTGATTTGTATCAAATTTTATACGTTCAAAAAAGAACACTTTTATCGTAAAGACCAAACAGCACTATGGCACAGATATTGATTCTTTTTTCTATAGAGAACATCTGAGTAACTTGCCCCAGATCACAGAGTGTTAGAGATGATATTTTCAGCCAGTGGCCTGGCTCAGACCCCTGTACCCCTCCCCATGAGACCACATCAGGCCGTGACCAGCACTGGGGCCAGGACCTCCACCAACTCCCACAGCAGACTGAGGAAAGGTTCCTTTGTTTCCCATTTTTCCCATGTAAAAATCTGCTGGAGATGATGTTTTACAATGAACATGGATTATTTTATAAGCAGGAATAACATTTATTTTTCAAAAATAAAATCACGGGGAAATGAAAAAGACATGCTGTAGACTGAAAAAAATCAAGCCTGTGATCTCAATATGGTAAATACATACATATAGAAAAAAGACTGAAAGGAAATATAATAATATTTTAGTTGTGATTATCACCGGGAGGCAAGATCACAACTGGTTTTATTTTCTTCTGTAAAGCTTTCTTTATTTTCTAAATGTTCTACAAATGGTGGACGCTGTGATTGGGGGAATATGCTGCAGGAATGGTAGCCCATGAGGGCGAGAGGAGCTCAGTGTAGAATGCTTTCCACCCCAGGCCTGGGCGGGGCCCTGAGTTGTTATAATTTAGATGAGAACAGGCTGTGCAGAAAACTGTCCCAGACTCCTGCAGAGTGGCCCAGCCTGGTGACATCTACAAAATGAAGAAAGGGTCCCTAGAGAGTGTCTGGAGCTGGGGTTGGAGGCCTAGCTGGGCAGGGATTTAGCAGCCCACACAATGTTTCCATCTGCTGAGACAGACCGATCAGGTGCAGCAAGTGCCACAAGGAAGTGGTCAAACAACACCCCTGCCCTCCAGCTCCCATGACAGGCTTGACCCAGAATCATCATGGACCTTGGTTGAGCAAATCACGTCCCTGTTGCTGGTGGGTCCTCAAAGAGGGAGATGGGTTTAATGATCCAAATTACAAACAGAACCTGAGAAAGAATTTTTTTAATATGAAGCATTCAGGATTAATCACAAATAAGTATGCAGGAAATATATCAGAGTCTGGATAAAATCCTTCCCTGTGAAAAGATTGGAGCTCAGATTTGGGATCGATGCAGTTAAAGTCTAGAATATGATGACTGCAGAGCTCTGGAATCCTGAATTTGGGACAAGGGCCAGAAGCTCCAGGAGGTGTTGACGGGAGTGGAGGAGCAGCCGAGGAGACACGCACACAAACTCACACATGAGCTGGGCTGCACAAGCCTCGGACGTGCCAGGAGGCCACAGCTACAGGATAAACATGGCTCATCTTCCCCAAGAGCCAGTTTGCTCAGGATTAGAGAACAGGAGAAAGTTTCAGTGCTACCTATGCATCCGTCTTTAGACTCACCTCTGGTTTAAGAACAGCTTTGTTTTGGATGTGAAGGAGGGAAAAAGCTCCCTTAACTGTACTCATTGAATGGAAGCCACATCTTGATTTCAAAAACATTAAAACATGAATAAATATACATCCTAGGGCTGAGAAAATTAAGTCATTTGAAACATTTCAATATTAAAACAGAAATGAATGAAGACAGAAAATAGACGGTGGTTTCTGGGGGCTGGGGCACAGCGAATGGGGTTAGTGCTTAGTGAGTATGAAGTTTTGGTTTGGGAAGATGAGAAAGTTCTGGAGGTGGATGGTGGTGATGGTGATGGTTTCACAACTTAATGTGGATGTCCTTAATGCCCTTCGATTGTACACTTAAAATGGTAAATTTTATGTTACAAATATTTTACCATAATTTTAAAAGAGATGCACAAAGGCATAGAAAATAATTTATCTTAATTTTAAGATGTAAAATATGAGATTTCTATTCCATTCCACTCAGGACCACATTCCCTCTCCTGACATTGGAGACAAAAGTTGGAGAAGCCACCGCTGAAGGCAGTGGCAGCCCCAGGGTCTCTTGTGCCATCATCTGAGGGAGCAGTCCTCGGAGCCATCAGTTACTCAGAAATTTATAACTCTGGACCATGCCTTTTGCTAACAATGAGAACAGGATTATGAGCTGCAAGGAAAAGAAGAGTGGAATGGAACAGGTGGGGCTGGATGGGAACAGACCTTCAGCTCCTGTCATCTGGAGAACCAGAGGAGAAGGGAGGGAGAAGCAGATGGTCTGAGCTCAGACAGAAAGGACAGGATCCTCCTGGAGTGGCTGTGAGCATCAGATGAGGTCCTGTGCATTGGGGGCGGGGCACAAGGCTTTGCCCACCACATATCAGGGACAGGAGGACATTTGACGAGTGTGTGCTGTGTGCCTTTGGCTCTGTCCTTATCATCTCAAGCCTGATAACACACATCCTCCCCAGTTTACAAAGGAACACACTGGAGCTCTGAAAGGCTGGGTAACTTGATGTCACATGGCTCACAGTCCTGGACCCAGAATTTGAATATGAAGCAGCCTGGCCCCAGAGCTCTACTCTGTGCAATGATGGTCCCAGTCCGAGCCCTGGTGTGCCTTCCTGAGCCGGCAGCTGGTTGCTACCGGGAGGGCTTAGCAAGGAGCCCTCTGCTGCCCACTCAGCACAGCGTGGGGTCCTCTCCTCCTCTCCAGGCAGTCCTGCCCAGCCTACCCGCAGGCCCAGCCGGCGGAGTCCAGCAGGGGAGGAGATGACCCGCCAAGGAAAGGCTGTGTGTGCGCTTTATCTGTTTGCACACTCACAACTCCCTTGTCATACACAGTCTGGTCTGTGGGATTCGAGAAGGGTCAGAATCACCAGCTTGGAAATTGCCTCTGGCTTCTCTCATGTCGTTGTAAAGCCATGTGTACTTGCTGGTGTGGTCTGCTGTTTTTCTTTTACTTGGCATGGTTTCCTGTTTACATTTCCTGCATGATACATTTTCTATGCACTTGTCATTTTTAATAGCACTGTAATTTTCCATCATGTTGACATCCCATAATTTGCCTAGTTATTTCCTGATTGCTGAGCATTTGGGTAGTTTCAATTTTTTCTTTATAAATAGCACCTTGTTAACTTTGGATAAGTTTCATTTTCTCCCCTTTATATTCTCAGATTTATTCCTCAAAGTGGAGTCATCCATTCGAGCAACGGGAGTGGAGTTGCCCCTCTTGTTACATAACCCCGATAACGTTCCAGGAAGACTGAACTGACCCCCTAGTTCCCACACTGTGACTTACAATATTTAAACCTTTTTTTCCAACTTAAACAATCTTAAATGCATTTTTAAAAATATTGTCTTTTTGCTCATTGTTAAAAATAACATGACCTTCAGGACAAATATTTAAAAGAAAAAAATCATCTCTGTTAGATCTGTAACATACTTATTTTGGCCTTTGTTGTTCCCTGTGTGTCTAAATCCATGTGCTTACATTTTTTATTATTATGGCCATGACACAGTTTTCATTCAGCCTTTTTAGTTGGTCTTCATGCTTGCCTTTTTTTAATGGCTTTAATACTATTGCACTTAGGGCTGGTCGGTTAGCTCAGTTGGTTAGAACACAGTGTTACAACATCAAGGTCAAGGGTTCAGATCCCCAAACAGGCCAGTGACCAAAAATAAATACTATTGCACTGAACCCACACAATGACGTAATTTGTGCTCTCGTGGGCAATCATATTGTTAATCTGCTCCCAGGCGACCCTCTGCAGGGGCACCTGCAGCCCAGTTAGTCTATTTGCTGTTACCTGGACCTGCTTTGTAGCCTCCCCTTTCCGACCCCTTCTCTGAGCTTCTTTGTTCCTCTGCTCACTTGACTCCTGTAGTGCAACGCTCAGTGGTGATTGGCATTCACGTCCCCTCGAGGGCTGAGATGGGATCACCCTCATTTCTGGTCCCCAATCCTGAGCACCAGCAAGCTTGCTTGACAACCATAACTTTCCCAGTCATTGGTGTTCTGAGAGTGTTGGGCTGAGCTGATTCTCTCCTTGGATTGACGAGCTGGATCCTGTACAAGCCTCAGGGGAAACGGACATCCAGGTGAGCCATGCCACTGTCCAGAGAAGAGTGACCAGTCTGCTTTTCTCCCTCAGGGACTCCTGATTAGATATGCAGTCACCAAGGACTCCTGGATGGGGGTCCAGCGAGGCCAGCAGGGCTGGCACTGGATTGATGGGACCCCTCTGCCACCGCAGCTGTGAGTAACTGTGGGCTTTCTCCCTCCTCGCCAGGACCTCCTCCCCCTCTGCTATTGTGGATCCTCCTTCTGTCCCCAAATTCAGCCTCCTGCTCCACCCCACTCGGGACACCAACCCCACACACATGCTCAGGGACCTGGGTTTGTTTAATCTCTGTTACTCCGTGTCATATTTGGGTTTCCCAGTGCATTGTCACCCTCGTCTTACAGATATGGGGTCTGCAGCTCAGAGTGGTTCGGTGGTTCACCCAGTGCCACACAGCTGACCAGCCAGGGGACGTCCTCAAGGCTCCTAGTTGAGGCTCTTTCCAGACAGCCCCCTCCCTCTGTGCAGTGACGTACACAGCGCTGGGCCAGTGGAGGGAACGGGCACGGGCTGGGAGGGCTGCACGGGAAAGGACGCACCTGCCCCCTGAGTGTCTCCCTCTTTTCTCTCTCGCCCTTCCCAGATTCCCAGAAGATGAAGACAACCCCAATCTCAACTGCGGGGGCCTGGAGGAAGGCAAGCTTGTGGCTTTGGACTGTAGCTCTCCAAGACCCTGGGTCTGTGCCAAGGAGACTGAGTGATTTGGGTCCTGTTCATCCTAAGCCAGTTGGCGAGCAGGCGGCATCCCCCCAGGGGAAGCCATTGAGAGCTGGGCAGCCTCTTCCCTGTACCCGGGCTGCCAAGTCTCCCTGCTCTGTTCAAGGGGGGCCCATCTGAGCGAACCCAGGGAGCTTCCACGCAGGAAGATCATATCTGAGGGAAAGGACATCTTCTGTGGCTTCAGGTCCAAGTGCCAGTGTTAGTCTCCAGCCTTAGAAGCTGATTATTGTTGCTTTTTTGGTGGCTGGCTAGTATGGGGATCCAAACCCTTGACCTTGGTGTCATAACACTGCACTCGAACTCACTGAGCTGACCGGCCAGCCCATTGAAGCTGGGATGGCTTTGAAGCATTTCTGAGCCTCAGTTTCTCCTCGTTAAAATGGTCATTTCCCACCCTCTCCGTTCCCTGCTTCGTGTCACCCACCCACCCTTTCAGTCCTAGAGGTAAAGACAGGATTGACTATCGTGGATGTTCCGCTCTGGGTTCTCACTTGATCTCGCTGAAGCGAGTCTTCTGTTTCGTGGCAATGGATTGGCAGGGGTGACATCACTGCAACAGATTCCACTTCCGGGCAGCTGGGTATACAGCTGCTGCAGCTCACCCCCAGTCTCTGGAGGACAGCAAAGGAAAAGAGGTGGTCGGCCCCGGGGGAGGCAGCAGGCGGTTTCCTTCCCTGCTCTGCGAGTTGGCAAAGCGTTGGCAGAGAGTAAGCTTCTGCACGGAGATCCAGCAGGTGGGGCTGGTGGGGCCCCTGGCAAGACAATGGCCAAGGCTGGGACGAGGCCGAGAGGTCAGGGCCACCTGGGCAGGAGAAGCTCAGATAGCACCCCAGCTTGGGAAGCGGAAGTTCAGAAGTTGCCACCAAGCATGGGGCACGAATGAGAAAGGAAATGGGAGAGATGTGGGCAGGTTTGAGGCGGCAGCTGTGGAGACAACCAGACTGAAGATGTCACTGTGCTACGGTCAGTGAAGGCCTTCGGGCTAGGAGTGGCCAGAGGAGGGGCTGGGACGGCCTGTTTCATCTCAAGCCTACCTAGATCTCTCCAAATGAAAAGCGTCTACCTGCGTCTTGTCTTAGTGCTGAGCCCGTGACACTTTCCTGTGCAAACCAGCCTTCTCTCTTTAAAACCAGACCATGCCCCCAATTCCCCTCAAACACACACACCTGGGCTTGCCCGTGGCTCACTCGGGAGAGTGCGTGCTGATAACACCAAGGCCACGGGTTCGGATCCCATATAGGGATGGCCGGTTAGCTCACTGGCTGAGAGTGGTGCTGACACCACCAAGCCAAGGGTTAAGATCCCCTTACTGGTTATCTTAAACTGGCTGAGCGTGGTGCTGACAACACCAAGCCAAGGGTTAAGATCCCCTTACTGGTTATCTTAAACACACACACACACACACACACACACACCCCACCCTGTATACACACACACACACACACACACACACACACACACACCCCACCCTGTATTGGTACCTTTGAGCNCACACCCTGTATTGGTACCTTTGAGCCAGCAGCTTACACACACACACACACACACACACACCCTGTATTGGTACCTTTGAGCCAGCTTGTACGGGCCATTTGGGAGAAAGGGATAGAGAATCTTAGATGAGAAAAATTTCCCACCCCTCTTGGGAAATAACAAAAAGGAAGATGGAAATTTCCTGACCAGATGTGAAAGGGCTGGTTCTGGCGGGACAGGTACCAAGCAAAACACATCATGTGTGGGCAGGAGGCTGTGTGTGTGCCCCCCACCTTACCTGCCGCCTCGTGTTCCCAGTGTCTGTGCCCAGAGAAATGGCACATATGTCTATAGGTAGAGAGTGTGCAGAAATGTATTAGCTTCTTTTGCCTTCTCAATACCGGAAGGAAAATGGTGTGTCCAAAGTCACCCGGCTAGAAAGTAGAAAGTCTAAAATAAGACCTAGTTCTGGGCCGAGCCCATGGCGCACTCGGGAGAGTGCGGCACTGGGAGCGCAGCAGTGCTCACGCCGCGGGTTCGGATCCTATATAGGGATGACCGGTGCGCTCACAGCGCTCACTGGCTGAGCACGGTGCAGCCAGTCTCAAAAAAAGGACAACAACAACAAAAAAAGACCTAGTTCTGTCTGACTTCAAAGGCCATGCTCCTTCCATTCAGGCACACTGTAGAGGAACTAGAGGGGTATCGGCGCAGCAGTGCTCACGCCGCGGGTTCGGATCCTATATAGGGATGACCGGTGCGCTCACAGCACTAACTGGCTGAGCACGGTGCAGCCAGTCTCAAAAAAAGGACAACAACAACAAAAAAAGACCTAGTTCTGTCTGACTTCAAAGGCCATGATCCTTCCATTCAGGCACACTGTAGAGGAACTAGAGGGGTATCGGTGGCAGCTGAGTGGGAACCGTCAGGTGGAGTGAGGGACCAAGGAGGCAAGTTATTTCACACTTGTGATCATCCACTGCTTCAGTTACCTATTTATTGCTCTATAATAAATTGTCCCCAAACTTAGCAACAACTGTTTGTCCTCAAACAATGATTTTTTTTTTTTTTTTTTTTGCCCTCCTGATCCTGTGGCTTGAGCAGGCAGCTGATGGCTGGGAGATCCAAGCGGCCTCACTTGCTGGGCTGGCATTGTGCTGCTGGCTCCTAGCTGGGGGCCTTGGTTCTCCCACACGTGCATCTCTCCATATGGCTGCTTGGGCTTCCTCTCAGCATGGCAGCTGGATTCCAAGAAGGAGCATTCCCAAAGAAGTGACAGCAGAAGCTGGCTGTCTTGAGGGGCTAACCTCAGAAGTCACCCAGTGTCACGTGTGCCAAATTTTATTAGTCTAAACAAGCTATGGGGCCAGCCAGTATCCAGCAGAAGAGAAATAGACTCCACCTTTCAGAATTTTGGGCCATAACCACCATCCTTTGGTATACAACTGGATACACCCACAAATATGTGTAATCAATACATTTCAATAAAAGAAAATGGGGACAGACTTCTACTTGATTTGGTTTCTATCAGCCAAAGTGGGTGGTATTTCCCAGCGCAGGCCTGACCTCTGACACTGCATCCAGCTCTAGCTCTCACTACTTGCCCTCCCATTTCTGGTGCTCAAGGCAGCACTGGCTGAATAGAAATATTTACTGAGTTAAAAACAGCAACATCCAACGCAGTTGTTGACTTTAAAATCTGGTTAATTATGTCTGAAATATTTCAGAACAAAAAACAGGTTTTTAAACCTTGCGGTACTTCTGAATCCAGGAAGATAATTTTTAATGTACAGGATGGCTCACAGAAAAGAGAAATCCCTAAAAAAGAGAAGCAAGAACTGAAAACCAGACAAAGAAGCGTAGGAGCTGCTTTTTTGGCTCACTCACCAGGTGACATGTTAGTCTTGTGAATTATGGGCTATTTTCATACTTACATGGAACAGGAGCCTGGGACAAACGCAAGGTAGGAGTTTGATCTATTTAAATTTAGGACCTTGAGGGCTTGCCCTCAGTGAAAGAGTGGACTAGAAACAGTCACCTACTAACTGGAGATGGCAAGGAAGCTCATCTGTCCCTCCCTTCATGAAAAAAAATTCTACTGCTAATGTGAGACCCTAGGGCTGGGTCTTTACTGGCACAGGATTTGAATGTAGACTACCTGCATGATCCAGAAACCTCCAACCTGAGAAATTAGCATCAAAGTTGCCCTAGGCTTGGTGACACCCGTTAGTCTTTAGCAGAAACCAGTGCAAAACTGTTCCCCGTCATCCACGGTTAGAAATCCGTAGTGGGTAGAGGGAAGATTCCAAAGATGCTCTTACTGTAAAAGATGAAAGACATAGAAAGATACTGAAACTAAGAAAACACTATGAAACAGACCAGAGTTTTAAAAGAACTGAATAGAATTTCCAGAAATGAAAACAGTTGTTGGTATTAAAAGCTGAGCGGAGAAGTTAAATAGAAGACTAGAAACAGCTGAAGAGAATTAAGTAAACCAGAAGATAAATCTGAGGAAAGTAACTGGAATGCACTACAGGGGTAGGAGACAGACAACACGGAACGTACGCAGACAAAAGATCCAGCAGAACTTCTAGAACAGGGATTGTTAACCATTTTCTGTGCCACAGATCCCATTTCAGGATCATGTTTTTAAAAGCATAAAATAAACACAAAATTATGAGAAAAAATTACATTGAAACACCATTCTTGGCATGCTTTAAAATCAACCTAACTGCAATACAAGTCACATACAATAAAATACACGCACTTTAAGGGTGCGGCCAGATGAGTTCTGACAACTGTATGCACTGCCGATGTAACCACGCTCTGATCAAGGTTCTTGTGGGCATCTTCCCAGTCACCCCCCAGTCCCGCCCAGGAAACTGATTTGCCTTGTCACAGTACATTAGAGATATATCCAAACATTCACACACTATTCATATGAGAAAATGTCACACAGAAGTTAAGGTAAATACCTTGTCTTCTGTATATTAGTTTTGTACCAACTAAATTCTTATTGTTAGGACTCATTTTCTGTTAGTCTTGAGTTTTTCAGATAATCATTTCATCCACAAATAAGGATAATTCTGCTTTTTGCTTTCCAAATGGTGTACAAATTTCTTTGTTTCCTAACTGCATTTGCTAGTATCCTTGGGACGATGTTAAGCAATAATGATCACAGTTGATATCTTTCCTTTTCCTGACTTTAATGGGAATAATCCTGTTCTCCCAAAAAGCATGAAGCTCACTTTGGGTTGAGGGGTGTGTGTGTGTGTACCCCTATTCCTATCATGTTAATGAGCAGTTTGATTTTATCAGATACTGTTGGGAAAATAAAGGAAAATGGTCAGGGCCCCTCAGATGTTCAGAATCTTGCCGAGCATTTGATGTAAATATGCACGTGCGCCCAGGTGTCCCTGGTTATTGTCTAATGTAAGCGTGCATGTGCACCCAGGTGTCCTGGGTTATGGACTTAAGTATAAAGGATGAGTGGCTCTGATCTACGGCCCTCCCCTCACCCCCGGGGTGCTGCTGGAGGCTATTGCTGCCAGGGCCCCTGGGACCCTCCACAAGGCCACCACCAGTGCCGGACCTGTAAGCTGCTGCCGCCATCGCTGAGGACTGAGCTCATGTCATCTGCCAATGGCTCCCGGGATCTTTCCCAATTGCCTAGCATGGACCTGCATGTGAGGGGTCTGGTGACCCAGCCTGGCATGTGAGGGGTCTGGTG